CTCGTTTGCGCCCGGGCTCAGAGCACGCTGCCCGACTGCCCGATGCCCAGGCGGCACTGCCACGCCTGGCCCTTCTCGAGGAGGAGGGCCAGAATTGATCGACGCGATTCGCAGGCCCAGCGCGACGTCTGCTGCGGCGCCTGCGGGGGTTTGATTCGCGGCGCCGTCTGCAGGGCGCCGGGCGAATCCCTGCGCCGCGGCTACCCGCAGGCCGCGCTGCGCTCCTGGCGGGGCGCCCAGATCGCGCGACTTCCCTCCCCAGAAGAAGCGCCCCCGGAGGGGTCGGCCAGACGGTGGCCGAAGTCGACGCTGAGACCACTGCGGCCGCTGTCGCCTCCGAAGAGGCAGACGCCGCCGCCGTCCGCCGCCTGGCGGATAGTGGCCAGCAAGCGCCCCTGCTGGACAACGACGGCGCCCCCGCAGCGGGGCCAGGGGCGAGGATTGGCGAAATGGCGCGCGCGGCCGCGCCCCGCCCTCGCCGACTGATGCGCCGCCCACCCAGGCGGCGAGCCCGCTGGCCTCGACAAAACTGGGCCCCCCCGAGGGCGGTCGACGCTCCGCCGTCGCCGGGCCGCGACGGCGGGCGACGGCCCGGCCAGCGCCGACTCCGCCCAGCGCCCCAGCACGGGCGACAAAGACCTCCACGACGGCGACGACGCGGCTGAAGAGTAGGACGCGAGGGCACGAATCACCCCCTGATCACGCGCGGGGGCACCGCTCGACGCCCCGACGGACGCCTCGGTCGAGGTTGCGACCAGCAACGCCACCGCCAGCCCCGGGTACCGCGACCCGGCGCCAAGCCCCGCGCCTTATTCCCCGCCCCTGGCGTCCGCCAGCGTGCCCTATTCGGCGCCGGAGCTCATCGCCGCCGCCGCGCGGGCGGGCGGGCCGGCCCCAGGCCGCGATAAACCGGGGGCGCGCAATCCAGGGCCGGGGCGTCGCGAGATGGCTGCGGCAGCGGGCTCAGACGAGCTACACGAGCACCCCCGCGGGCTGATCCAGCGGGAACCCGATGTTGGCAAGACACCCAGAAACTGCGTGGAGCGGCTCCAACGTGAGGCTGGGTCTGCGTTCGTCAGCGGTCGGTACGCTTTTTCTGCGCGACGCAGGACAAGGGCAAGCGTCGAGCCACCTTAGGACCCTGGGAGACGGTCAACCGCCGAACGCGCGGCCTCCCTCAGAGGGCTCGCGGCCGCTGGACACGACATAGTGGGCTGGGCGAGAGGGCGCTGAGATGGCGGCGCGGCACGGGGCGCGGGCCGCGGGCCCAGCCAGGGACCACTGACCCTCAACGTGGCCGCTGCGCCTGGCCCCAGGTCCCGGTCCGCTCTACTGTCGCGTGACCCTGGTCGCCTCTGTCGGGAGAAGACGGCGCCTGACCTGTCGCAGCAGTCGGACTCGCCTCCCCAGGTAATCCGATACCCAGAAGACCTTTCTAGCGCGAAACCAGGATCGGCAGCTACACCCTTTCCCCCGGCGTCGGCTAAAATCGGTAGCGATCGAATTCTCGTTCTTGCAGACTCTACTCGAAATAAATTTGTTGCCTCTACCCATTTCAGCTGTTGCTATCGATGTTCATTTCTGTGGATGACCCAGAAGGGAGTACGGCTGAAAAGGCGCAGTGCAATTCATTTGGGCCGAGTGCAATGCAAATGTATTGCGCCAGAGATGTCTATAGCTTTGCCTTAGAAGTCATGTACTACACGCGAAAATCCAGCAGTACACTTGCGCCCCGGAATGCATTGCACGCCCCGAATGAATTCCAACCCCACAAATCAATTGCACCAAATCTATTGCACCACCCCCTCGTCGCTGGACCCCCTTTGGGTCAAACTGAATTTCGGCGCTACCAGATTTCATGCGAATGTTTGTAAACAGCCACCAAACGTTTGTCAAACGATTGTGCGTGGTGCGTCGCCATGCAGACCCTCGATCCCCAAAGTTTGCCCACTTCTCACCAGCTTGCTTCACGCTGTCAACCAAACACATGTATGCCGCAAGCATGTGTCAACCAAACACACGTTTGACACACGTTTGTTATGATGACAAACGTTTGCAAACGTTTGCGAACGTTTGCAAACGTCTGTCCAAAGTTGTCGGCAGTCGGGCGCAAGCGAACGCACGGTTGACAAACGTGCATTATGAAAACATCGACATCTGCTACCACATTTACTTTGCGCGCTATCGAACTTCGCGCGCGGTCGGCATCTCATTCTCGCCTTACCGAAATCAGCGAGCAGCAGAACTGTTCATCGCTAGTAAATGTCATGCCTCTGTCGGTCGCGATCGAATTTCAACTTGTCTTGTTTGCGCTACCCAGTTTTGGGAGCATCGGATGATCTGGGTCGGATTCCTTCTCCTGTCGTGCCCTCGGCAGGTTGCACCGTCGTCGCAACGTGGCGGCCCTGGTGCGGCGCTCGCGCCGCCCGCGTCGGCCCCGGGCGCCTTGCGTCATCCATGCCCCTGCGCATGCCGGCCCGCTGCGCGTGCCGAGAGGCGA